GCCCGTGTGTGCAGAGGTGAGCTGTGCCCCATAGGGTTCTCGAGCCCGTGTGTGCAGAGGTGAGCTGTGCCCCATAGGGTTCTCGGGCCCGTGTGTGCAGAGGTGAGCTGTGCCCCATAGGGTTCTCAAGCCCGTTACCTTTTTGGAAGCAGATCTTCTAAGGAGTCTCTGAGTGGATTGGAACTGCCACCTTTCCAGCTAGTAGTCAAATGCTTAACTCTTGGTACTACCCAGAATCTAATTTGGATACATATCTATTTTTAAAAGCCATTTAGGCCAAATAAATTGTATCTGAGAGAGAGATCTGGCTATCTATCAGAGCCCCAAGTCCTGCTGCCTGATTTTAGTGAGTTCCTAGTGCCTGGAGCCCTTAGATTAAGACTCCTCACCAGCACCAAGTCTACCTGAGGAACCAGATAGCAGCCTGGGGCACAAAGAGATGACTGCTTAGCCAGCCAGGCACACCCAACACACACACACCCCAACACAAACATGGGGAGAAAAGCAGTTTCTTAAGGCCAAAGCCAGCGTGACAAGGTTTGGAGTCCAGTTCTGGCTGGAAATGACTCTGGTCTCCCTTTGTTCATCTGCACAGCCTTGTTGGAAGGATTTAGCAAGTTAAACACTTTAAAATTCTTGGTCCACGATGTTGTTATATTTACTATTATCCCATCTTCCTGGGATCCTTGGAGGGCAACTAGGAGGAAACCTTATAAGGAATGCTGACTCCAGAAACAGAAGAGGAAATGTAGGGGGGGGCATGTGTGTCGTGGTGGGGAGTGGGGGGGGGGTGTCATGTAATTCAATGCTGCTTCTTCCTCAACCTCATGCAGGCACCCCCAACATTGTAGTGCCCCCGGAGGTGGTGGCAGGCACGGAGGTGGAGGTCAGCTGTATGGTGCCAGACAACTGCCCAGAGCTGCGGCCAGAGCTCAGCTGGCTGGGCCAAGACGGACTGGGGGAGCCTGCTGTGCTAGGTCGACTGCGTGAGGACGAGGGTACCTGGGTGCAGGTGTCGCTACTGCACTTCGTGCCCACTAGGGAAGTCAACGGCCACCGGCTGGGTTGCCAAGCATCCTTCCCCAATACCACCCTGCAGTTCGAAGGCTACGCTAGCCTGGACGTCAAGTGTGAGTCGGGGGCGGGACGGGGCGGGGCAGTGTGTGGGCGGGGCCAGGCTGGGCGCACCGGGGTCAAATCGGGCTCGCCGGGGCAGGGACTGAGGCGCCGGCCCGTTGACCCTGCCGTGTCACTGGCCTCAGACCCCCCTGTGATTGTGGAGATGAACTCCTCTGTAGAGGCCATCGAGGGCTCTCATGTCAGCCTGCTCTGTGGGGCGGACAGCAACCCGCCCCCGCTGTTGACTTGGATGCGGGACGGGACTGTGCTCCGGGAGGCCGTGGCTGAGATCCTGTTCCTGGAACTGGACGAGGTGACCCCTGGGGAGGATGGCGTCTATGCCTGCCTGGCAGAGAACGCCTACGGCCAGGATAACCGTACTGTGGAGCTCAGCGTCATGTGTGAGTGACTCGTACCTCCTGCAGCTGACCTGCAGAGCCGAGATAAGGGGACACCAGCCTCGCCCTGTCTCAGGACCCCGGGTGGGAGTTGGGGGGCACGGACAGAACTACTGTTGAGGCAAAGATAGAGACGAGGAGGGTTGCAGGCCAACATGTTCATTCATTCGTTTTCCCAAGCACCTGGTGAGCACTTTTCTTTCTGCACTCCTCTTAGCTGATCACAAGGTTGGGAAGGGAAAGGGGGTTGCCCATTACCAAGCAAACCTGTTGATTTTTCTGGGAAGAGCCTTCAGATGGAGTAGATCTGGGCCTGAGCCTATGAATCTGCATTTTACTAGGATCCCCATGTAATTCTAAGGGAAGAGTCCAGAGGACTCATCCTGCCCTATGTGTATGCATATGCATTCTGGGGCGAGGACAAAGGTCTGGTCAGCACAGAACTCTTAGCTAGGAACCAAGGACTGTCATTTATTCACAAATACTTACTGGAGCAAAGAGTTCAGGGCGATTAAGAACTATGACAGTCACAGCTAACATTTACTGAGGGATTTACTCAAATAAAGGAACCCTGGTGGCACTGTGGGTTAGGTAGTAGGTTGCTAACCACAGGGTTGCTGGTTCAAACCCACCAGTTGCTTTTCTGGAGAAAGATGAGGCTATCTGCTTCCATCAAGATTTACAGTTTCGGAAACCCTTTTTTAGGGGCTCAATGAATCAGGATCGGTTACACGGCACTGGGTTTGGATTTTGGTGTACACAAATACTTTCCCCACACCATTCCATTTAAAACTGTGCCCACCCCACCCCTTTATTTTTCTCCAAAATCATCTCCAAAGTATCCATCTTGCTGACTATATACAAGGAGCTTCAAAAAGTTTGTGAACCCCCCCCCCCAAAAAAAAAGCTAAAGAGGATAGAGAGAAACACTGTTAACTGATGATATATGGAGGGGATAATAATCAATGTAATGAAACAAGCTATATGAATGGTTGAATGTGTGTGAAGCTGATGATGTGCCCTGTAAACTTTCACTCAATCCAAAATAAAAACATTTAATAATAAATAAATAAATAAAACCAAAACATCAAAAAAAAAAGTTTGTGAAAAAATGAAATTAAAAGATCATGTTGTTGTTAAGTGCCATCGAGTTGGTTCTGACTCATAGAGACCCTGTATAGGGTTTTTGAGGAGTGACTGGTAAGCTTGAATTGCCGACCTTGTGATTCAAACCCATCTTGCAGTCCAGCGCATTAACCCATAATGCCACACCAGGACACTCAAAAAATCATGGAACTTACATATTTATATAACATCTACCCACGTGGGCTCTCCAGCTATCTAGTTGAAGCTAGAACAGTGCCTAATGCTTACTTATTAGGTGCTCAGTAAATGTTGAGTGAACAGTCCTCTGATGCTGATACTATTAGCAAGCTCATTTTCTAGATGAGAAAAGGGAAGCACAGAGAGGTTAAGGCCTATGTCCACACACAGCTGGGAAAGGTAAAACCAGGATTCAAATACAGGCCCTCTAGCTGTGGATTGCCTATGCTTGCAAATCATAGCATCCTGAGCTGCTGTTCTAGGTTTGGGGTGTCCGTGGTCTCATTTTGGGGCTGGGAGTTGGCTGACAGAAGAGCCACCTTCTGATTCCTAATCCTCTGTCCCTTGTTCTGCCCCCCAGATGCACCCTGGAAGCCGACAGTGAATGGGACGGTGGTGGCCGTGGAGGGGGAGACAGTATCCATTTCGTGCTCTACCCAGAGCAACCCAGACCCCATTCTCACCATCTTTAAGGAGAAACAGATCCTGGCCACGGTCATCTATGAGAGTGAGCTGCAGCTAGAGCTGCCGGCCGTCACGCCTGAAGATGATGGAGAATACTGGTGCGTGGCTGAGAACCAGTATGGCCAGCGGGCCACTGCCTTCAACCTTTCTGTGGAGTGTGAGTGTCCCCTTCCTCTTCTCCTGCATGGAGATCCCTGGGCATGGACTAGTGGGACCTGCTGGGGGTGGATGGTGCTATTGGAGACACCTAGGTTTATGGGAGCACCCATGTATCTCAACCTGAGTGTCTTTGCCCATCCTCACCAGCCAACCAGGATAAGGAGGGTTGGGACCCTGAATCCACAGCAAGCAAATAGAAGTCCTACCTGAAAATATTATGCCTAACATCCCGAGGTGAGCTCTTGACCTAGGAGCTTTCTGGATCCCGTGGCCACTGCCTCCTTTGCTTTCATTCCAACAGTAAGCACAACATCTCCTCATGTCATGTGCACGGTTGGAAACATTCTACAAATAGTCACTCATTCTAACCTCATGACATCCCTACAAGGGAGGTTCTATTACATACCCATTTTACAGAGGAGGAAACTGAAACTAAGAGGCAATGACATCGCCCCAAGATCACACAGCTAGGAAATAGCAGAATTTAAGTTTCACATCCAGACAGTGTGGCCCTGCTTTTCCATACTGCGCAAAGTTGGCCACATCCTGTGTTCTCACACAAGAACAGAGTGATGGAGCAGTTGCTATGGGGCTGTATGGCTCTTTGGAAGGCAAAAAGACCAAGAGGACCCCAAGCTTTTTATGAGAGATAGTACCGCCAGGAAAGAGCCTTGGTGTGGTGCTGTGGGATAAGCAATGGACTGCTGACTGCAAAGTTGGCGTTCCAGTCCACCAATCACTTCTTGGAAGAAAGATGAGGCTTTCTGCTCCTGGAATGGTATACAACTTCGGAAACCCTACACAGGGTTACTATGAGTTGGAGTTGATTCAATGGCAGTGATTTTGAGTTTTGAGTTAGGACAGCCAGGGAGGCACATAAAAATCTGTTTTGAAAATTAAATTCATTGTTTCATGATAGTCACCTCTTCTCCATGGACAGCAGCAGCCCCACCTCTCCCAGTCACAGCTAAATGTTCCCTCCTCCAGCAGTTTCCCTCTGGACTGTGTCCACCCCTCGCTGCCACTTCTGTGTCATCCTCAGCTCAGGCCTGTCCTCTGACACCCTCTCTCACCTGGCTCTGTCTCTTACTAGCGGTGGTCCTTTGGAAAGCTGTTTAGTCTCTCTGGGCCTGTTTGTTCCTTCGTGAAATGAGGAATTACAGTAGAATTATTGCTTTCTAAGACTTGGTGAGGTTTGGATTATAGAAAACAAGTATACATAAGAAGTACGAAGGCTTGGCACATAGCGACCATGCAGCGTACCTTCGTCATTTTCACTGTCCTTACCCACTTGATTGAACTCAGCACTGACAATTTATAGCACAGGTTCTAGAGTTAGAATGACCCAGATTTATATCCTGCTTCCACCACATACCAGCTGTGTGATCCTGCACAATTGACTTCACCTCTCTGGGCCTCAGCTGCCCTTCCTACATTGTTCCTTATCACACATTTGCTGAAAGGTTCAATCAGATTCAACATGCAAAGTTAAGTACCAGTACCTCTGTGTTTAGTCATGGTGTGGTGCTGTGGGTTAATGTGCTGAACTGCAAAGTTGGTTTGAACTGCAAGGTCGGTGGTTCAAGCTCACCAGCTGCTCCTTGGAAACCCTATACAGGGTTGCTATAGTCAGAACCAACTCAACAGCACTTAACAACAACAACAACACAATATGAATCCTGGTATAGTGCTGTAAGTTAATAAGCATTGGATTGCTAACTTCAAAGCTGGTGGTTCAACAAACCAACTGCTCATCTGAAACCCTATATAGGGTTGCTATGAGTGAGAAGTGACGCAATGACACTTAACAGCAACACAGTAGATAGGGAGCATGGTGGCTCTGTAGGATAAACACTGGACTGCAAACCACAAGTTTGGTGATTTGAGCCCATCGGCTGTTCCATGAGAGAAAGATAATGCTTTCTGCTCCTGTAAAGATTTACAGTTTTGGAAATCCTAGATTCATAGGCTCGCTATGAGTTGGAACTGACTCGACAACACTTAACAACAACAACAACAACAGTGCAGTACATGGAGTCCTAGTGTGGCACTATAGGATAAGCACTGGAGTGCTAACTACAAGGTTGGCGGTTCAAACTCACCAGTTGCTCCTTGGAAACCCTATACCAGCAGGTTGCTATGAGTCAGAACCAACTCGATAGCACTTGATAATAACAACACACATATTATTACATGTTCAATAATTCATTGGTGATCGATACCACACCAAACCGCACTGTCATCAAGTCAATCCTGACTCACAGTGACCCTATGCGACAGGGTAGAACTGCTCCTTTGGGTGTCCGATGCTATAAATGTTTACAAGAGCAGATAGCCTCTCTTTCATTCTCAGAGTGCTTGGTGGGTTTAAATGGCCGACCTTGCGGTTAACAGCCCAGTATTTATCCCACGATGCTGCAGATACGAATTATTCCTGGGGTCTGTTTTTCACAGCAGAGCTATATGGCTGCTCATTCATGGGCTCCCTTTAATATCTTGGCACATTTTCTCCCAGTCTTTGCGCTCTTGCAGCATCTGATACGATGACAGCAGAGAGACTTTGTAGTCTTCTGTGTTTTCCAGACCTGCCATTCTGGGCCCAGCCTCCTATTGTATTGCTCTTTTCTCTCTCTTCTCTCACGCCCTGAGAGCTGAGATTGAAGGGTCGTCGGGGAATCCTTGAGAATCTGATGGGAACACTTGAACACCCTCCACTCCCTGCATGTCTCACACACATGAAATTTCAGGTGTCACAGACCTTTCCTGTACAATAAGAGCAGTGACAGAAGCCCTTCACTAAGTATCACTAATTAAGTATCACTCATTAAGCATCACTCGTTAAGTATCACTTCATTAAGTATCTTTCTGGACGTGGGCCAGGCAGGCCTGCTGCCAAGGTTGAGGGCTCCCCCTGCTGGAATGGGTCTGTTTAGCAGTTGGTACTTGGATGGTGCTGTAGGTACTCAGGCACCTATCTTTGGAGCCCCTGTAGCCCCCTGGGAGTTAAGTACCTCCTGTGTTTACACATCAGAGGTCCCTAGAAGCTAAGAGACCTGACCTGGACCACCCAGCTGGTCGGTGGCAGACCTGGTGTTCAAACCAAAGCTCTTAGCTCTCCATCGTTTGTATGAACTGGTGTTTGTCTAGGGTCATGTAAAGTTCTCATAGGTCTCCCAAGCTGCCCAAGAGGCCGAGATGTCAGGCAGAGATGCCCAACCAGGTTGCCCACAGTCCCACAGTGACTGGGGTGGGCACTTGTCACCAGGGCACCAGGTCTTGAGTACATGGTATTTTCATTGCTGCTAAGTCAGGCTACTAGCCACAAGGTCAGCAGTTCAAAACTACCATCTATTCCGCGGAAGAAAGATGAGGCTTTCTGCTCCCGTAAAGATGCACAGCCCTGGAAACCCTATACAGGGTCGCTATGAGTCGGAACTGACTCCATGGCACAAACCATCACCATTTAAAAGAAAGGAGCTCTGGTGTCACAGTGGGTTAAGCACTGGCCAACTAACTGGAAGATTGGGAATTTGAACCCACCTTGGGAAAAAGATGAGGCCACCTGCTCCTGTAAAGATTTACAGCCTCAGAAACCCTATAAAGGGTCATTATGAGTCAGAATAAACTCAGTGGCAATGGTATAGGGCCACCCTGAGTGGGAATCAACCTGATGCCAGTAGGTTGTGTAAGAGAAATCTGAATCAGTTCTGTTTTTGTAATTCATTTACTATGTGGTGTGTTAATTAGTTAACACTACAAGTCTAATGCACGTCTGGGTAAACAGAATGTAGGGCATATATATATATATATATATATATATTTATTTATTTATTGAGAACTAGGAGACCTGGTGTGGCGCTATAGGATAGGACTAGACTGCAAGGTCAGTTTGAACTGCGAGGTTAGTGGTTCAAAACTCACCAGTTGCTCCTCGGAAACCCTATACAGGGTCACTATGAGTCAGAATCAACTTGACGGCACTTAACACCACCAACAACAGTGCTCAGCCTGAAGCCTGGTGACTCTGTGGGTTAGGCATTGGGCTGCTGACCACAAGGCTGGGGGTTCAAACCTACCAGCTGCTCTGGGGGAGAAAGATGAGACTGTCAGCGAAAGATGAGACTGTCAGCTTCTATAAAGATCTGCAGTGTCAGAAACCCTAAGGAGCAGTCCTGTTCTGTCCTAGAGGGTCATTGGGAGTCAGAATTGACTTGACAGCAGTGGGACTAGAACGAGCAGAGTGCGGGGATGAGAACGTAGCATTAAAAGTTACATTCCATGTTCTAATACCATTTTATATCTTGGAAAATGAAGGGGGAAAAAACTCACACCAGTACTAGTTTGGTAATACAAGTGGCAACAGAGCAACGTACGACAGAATGGGATTTGGGGTGAGCAACAGTAGGAAGCTCTGTGAGTTGTCAGACTCCAGGGAGCTTTGGGAGTGGAGTGGAGATGGGGTTGATGGTGGACAGTGTCATCTGCAGGACAGACTGAAAGGGGAGAGCAGAGGCTGGATGTCAGAAAGGAGTTGAGAGTCTGTGTATGGGACCACGAGGGTCTGACAAGGCTAGGAAAGGGGAGAATTCACAAGTTCTAGATGTGAGGGTGTAGTGGTTATGAATGGGGCTGCAAACCGCAAGGTCAGCATTTTGAAACTACCAGCTGCTCCGCGGGAGAAAGATGAGACTTTCTGCTCCCGTAAAGATTTACAGCCTTGGAAACCCTGTACAGGGTTGCTATGAGTCAGAACCGACTCTACGGCACATAACCACCACCAGATGTGAGGGACACAGAAGACCATATCTTCATGACAAGAAGAGACCAACCATATCAGTATATAACACAGCGAGGGCTGGCCGATTGGGAGAAAACCTGAGCGGGACAGGGAAGAGATTGAAAACCAGTTGCCGTGTTGAATGGATTATGCCTCGTGGTGACTCTTCGTGTCAATATGGACTTATGCTTCAAGGGGTTTTCAAAGACCGATTGTCCAGAAGCACATTACCAGGCCTTTCTTCTGGTGATACTTCTGAGTGTTCTTGAACCATTAACCTTTCAATTAGCAAGCCAACTGTGTTAATTGTCTGCACCATCTGGGGGCTCTGTGAGGGGAGAAGGGAGTCGTTTTATGTAGGGTGATCAGGGAAAGAGATCGTTGAAGCAGAATGAGAATGAGGGAGGAGGCTTGGCAGGTAGAGCAGGAAGTGTTGCAGGTAGAGGGAGGCACACAATGACCCAGTGATGGGATAAAGCTTTATGAGTTTGCGAAACAGCAAGGTGACCAGTGTAACTAGAAAGCAGTGATGAAGGATGGGAGATTAGAGAATGGCTAGGTCCTGGTGATGGTAAGCAATGGACTGTTAACTGCATGATTGGTGGTTCAAACCCACTAGCTGCTCTTTAAGAGAACAATGAGGCTGCCTGCTCCCGTAAAGATCCAACAGTCTTGGAAACGCTTTGTGGAGTTGCTATGAGTTGTAAATGACTTCACAGCTGTGGGTTTGGTTTGGCTTGTGTTTGCGTCTTGTAGACTGAGGCGACAAGAATTTGGATTTTATTCTTAGTGACACAGGGAACCCATGGAGGGCTTTGCACAGGGACATGCCATATCTGTAAAGGTGGGCCCAGCTAGAGACAGTGCAAGAGCTGTTGCAAAGGGAGAAATGCAGTTTCTCTGTGAACTACCCAGCAGTGCGACCGTCCAATCATTCCAGGCTTGCTCAGGAGTCCTCACTGTCTCCAGCCCATGACTGGTGTTGTCTCCACAGTTGCCCCCATGATCCTCTTGGAGTCCCACTGTGCAGCGGCCCGTGACACAGTGCAGTGCCTGTGTGTGGTCAAGGCCAACCCAGAGCCTGCTGTGGCCTTTGAGCTGCCCTCTCGCAACGTGACCGTGAATGAGACGGAGCGGGAGTTTGTGTATTCCGAACGCAGTGGCCTCTTGCTCACCAGCATCCTCACGCTTCGCGGGCAGGCCCAGGCCCCACCCCGGGTCCTCTGCACCTCCCGAAACCTCTATGGCACCAAGAGCCTGGAGCTGCCCTTCCAGGGGGCCCGTGAGTATTGTGGGCTTGGGGTGGGAGCCATAGGGGGAGTGGAGGCTCTTCCTGGGTTTAAGTTCCTCTCTCCAAGACTGACAATCAGCCACAGAGCACAACTCATACTATGTAGATTTATAAAGTGGCAAAAGATCCCCTTTCCAGTTGGTAAGGAGCAAGTGTCCTGAGTTACCTTCACTTGGGCCCTCCAGCAACTAAAGGGAAGCCAGGGTCTCCACTCTGGTCAGTCAATCCAAGGATGTGCCATTTACAAACTTAGACCTCTACCCTGGTCCCAGCGCCTTGACTAAGAACTGAGGTGCATTCACTAACACCAACAGCCCTGGGAGCAAGCACCTGGGTCTTCTCTGTCCTCAGATCGATTGATGTGGGCCAAGATCGGGCCAGTGGGAGCAGTGGTTGCCTTTGCCATTCTCATTGCCATCGTCTGCTACATCACTCAGACTCGAAGGAAGTAAGTGTGCCTGCTGTGTGTGTGTGTGTGTGTGTGTGTGTGTGTGTGTGTGTGTGTGTAGGGGCCAGTGGGCTCTACTCTAAGAACACAGCTGTAGATGGAGAGAGAAGACTTTTGCTAATGTGAGCCAGGCCCCAAGCGGAGCACTTTCCCGGAATCATTATCATTGCAGTTTTCCCATGCTCTGTGCTGCTTGCCTCTGGCATCCAGAAACCTTTCCCCATGCACTTCAGAGTGATGGGGAAAGACCAAGCATCCGTGGCTTGCAGACACAGCCTCAGTCATTAGGTTCCAGAGGTTCCAACAACCACAAACAGCTGTGGTAACAAAGACGCTCCCCTTAACCCAAACCATAGTCAGTCGGTACACCTCTGCTGCCATTATTTCTGTTCCTTGTGGCACACAGTCATCAGATATCCTGAAAATGAATTTATCTCTGTGTTCCACGTCCTGGCAGCAAGATGACAGACACAGACACAGAGCATATGAAGGAACCTAGAGAAGCCAGGCTGGGCTTATGGAAAGTGGCTGAGACTAGGGATTAGGGCAGGAGTCCCACAAGGTTTGGCAGGGGTGGACAGGGAGTTTGTCACTCAGGAGAGCTTTTCTGTCCATCCTTTTGAGAGATGGGTCAGAGAAGTTGTGAGGCCCCTTGGACCAAAGTCCTAAGGTAGATGGGAGTGGAGGTAGGGAGGGGAGAAGGGGGCAGGGAGCCCCACTAGAGCTGATGTGTCTTGCCCTGCAGAAAGAATGTGACAGAGAGCCCCAGCTTCTCTGCTGGGGACAACCCCCCTGTGCTGTTCAGCAGTGATTTCCGCATCTCTGGGGCACCGGAGAAGTATGAGGTGAGGGCCACAGTCTTTTGGCTCTAGGCTGTCTGGGAACCTGGATGCAGGGACACCAAGGACCTGGGAGGGACCCAGGGGGTGGGGTTGCGGAGGGAAACCAAAGCCTCGGAGGGAAAGAGGAACCGTGACAGGAAGAAGCTATAGATGGCTGGAGGTTGGGGAGGGGGTGTCAGCTGAAGCTATGAAAGTGGCTCTGGGGTGCGGGGCTGAAGGGGGACCCTCATGTTCCCCGCCCTGGGTCTATGACTCCATCTCCTTCTCTAGTAACCCAGCGCGGTCTCCACCCTGGAATGTCACTGAGGGCCCCAGGAGGTAGGTTCCGGGGCCTCAGTGTACTGCCTCAGGGCCCTAGTCGGGCTTTGGGGTTGGCGTGCATGTGTGTTTGTCCCCATTAGATATTTAGGATGGTCCCTGGTCACGTCTGGCCCTGCCCAGCGGCCCGGGCCCTGTTTGTTTCATGGCATTGTTGTTCCTTTCTGTCTAGCAGTGGTCACTGTCCTGTTTGTGTGTGTTTGTGTATGTGTTCAAAGGCATGTTGGGTGGGGGTGGGGGTGGGAGGCCTAATGGAGAAGCTGAAGAGGCACCTGCGGGAACTCCATATTGAGTAGGGGTCACACCAGACATCCATAGGGGATGGCCTACTGAGCGTCTACCAAATGTTAGGAAGATGGGACCCCAACTAGGATCTGGGAAGGTTTCCTGGAGACATTGACTTTTTAGGCAAACTTCAAACTTAGCGATGAGGAGGCTGTGTTGTGTGCACTCACACAGAGCCTGCCCTACAGACAGGGCTTGGGGACTGAATGCTGGGCTTGTGGGGGGTACAGGCAACTCCAGCTTTTGCATTTGGGGAAGGGGAAGGGTGGGGCAGGCATCTGCTAATGGGCTGCTTCTCCTCACAGAGCCAGAGGCGTTTGGGATCTGAGAGGAGACTGCTGGGTCTTCGGGGGGAGCCCCCAGAGCTGGACCTGAGCTATTCACACTTGGACCTGGGGAAGAGACCCACCAAGGACAGCTACACCCTGACGGAAGAGCTAGCGGAGTATGCTGAAATCCGCGTCAAATAAGAGAGCCACGGGCAGTCAGTGTGGCCACCCCCTTTCAGGATCCTCGCTGACCCCACTGACTGTGGGCTTCCTTCCTCCCTAAAGTAGTGGGGGCTGGGGCAGGAAGGGGGTGGGGCGGGTGACTGTAGGGTCCTGGGGGCCTGGCCTCTTTCTCCTTCCCAGCTGCCAGCATCCCTTCCGGTCCCCACGATGGCTCCCCTTTAATCTCCTTTAACCTCATCTGTCTGGAGGGGAGCTCTGTCTATTCGTGTTATTTATTTTTACCCGCTGCCCTGTTTCCTATCCCCATACCTAGTCCCAGGGCCTTTCCAAAAGGGACATGCAATAAATGCCCCAAAGCCAAACACCTGTCTAGATTCTGATTGTTTCAGACCCACCCTTGGGGAATCTTTACTGTTCCACAATGATCACAGAATTTCTCTTTACCTTCTGCTGGCCCGTGTGGAAGACAGGGGCCCAGGGATATTCTAACCTGGTGACTGGGCACTGGGTTTGGTCCAGGTCGTGCTGTGTTTGAGTGGCAGGTAATTTTGTCTAACAATCCTCTTTGCTGACTTTGGCTGCAGTCTGGTCACCTCACAGCACTGGACCCAAACTCTCACGTAGCCACAATTCGCTGATCTAGAGGGTAGCTGTCCCTTCTGGAAGGACACGTGTTAGGTAGCATGGAGTCAGTTCTAACTCATAGCAACCCCTGTGTAGGGTTTCTGAGAAAGTAATGCTTTATGGGAGCAGAAAGCCTCATCTTTCCCCTGGAAAAGGAGTGGCTGGTGGGTTTGAACTGCTGACCTTGTACAATGCTTATTCTACAGCACCCCTTTTTCTATAGTCCCCACTATTCCATGTGGGCCCACACCTGTCTAGAGAGTCACTCTATGTCATTCATGTGTTGGTTTGACTGCTATCCCTCATACTCATGCTTTACAACGTCAGCCTTTCAAACTTCACTGCACTTGGTTCAAGCAGGATTCATTGGTCATTAGCTGTATTATGGGTCTTGGGCTCCATCGGAGTTCAGATTCTCCTGGGAAGGGACCCACATGACAGTCCCATCACGGTAAAAACAGTAAGGCTCAAAGATCCAAACCAAAGTAGACCAAACAAACCCATCACCAGGGAGTTAATTTCAGCTCATGGCAACACTGTGTTACTGAGTATGAGGATTCTCTAGGGGTCCTGGTGTGGTGCCGCAGGATAAACACTCAGCCACAAGGTCGGTTTGAACCGCAAGGTTGGTGGTTCAAACTCACCAGCAGCTCCTAGGAAACCCTATACAAAGTAGCTATGAGTGGGAACCAACTTGACCGCACTTCACAACAGTCTTTACAGAAAGAGATCATTAAAACTTTCTCTCATGACACCGCTGGGTGGGTTTGAACCTCCAACCTTTTGGTTAGCAGCCGATCATAAATAAGCACCACCTTGAGGTTCAGAGAAGATAGGTGATATCTCCAGGGATCCAGAGTTAGGAAATGGTGCAGCCAGTTTGTGGACTCGATTCTGTTTCAAAAGGCAATTTTTCTGTAACACCTGTCAGAAATTTTAACTAGACTCTGGTAGAAGTGGTATTAATAACTACCATTTGGTCAGTGCTTATGGCACATCTACTCATTTTACATCAACAGTGTGGTACTGTAGAACAAGTACTCCACTGCAAGGTCAGTTTGAACCCTAAGGTCTGTCGTTCAAGCTCACCATCCATTCCTTGGAAACCCTATACAGGGTCACTATGGGTAGGAACCGACTCAACAGCACTTAACAACAACAATATAGGTTGGAAGGAGTTCTGATGTGGCACTGTAGGATAAGCACAAGATTGGCTGTTTAAACCCACCAGCCACACCTTGGGACCCCTATAATACAAGATTATAACATCTCCATTTCCTATTCTTAACAACTTTTATGTTGGTTCTAAAAGTGTGGTCTCTGCACCAGCAACAGCACCTGAGGACTTGTTAGAAAGGCAAACCCTGAGGTCTCCACCCAGACTGCATGGATCAAACATGCTGGACTTTAATGCATCCTTTCATTGATTCTAATGCACACTGACACCTGGGAAACCACTGGCCCTTAGATTAAGGAGCCCTGGAGGAGTAGTAAGTTACACATCAGGCTGCTGACATCAAGACCAGCAATTCAAATCCACCAGCCACTCCGTGGGAGAAAGATGAGACTTTCTGCTCCCATAAAGATTTATAGCATTGGAAACCCTATACAGGGTTGCTGTGAGTTGGAACCGACTAGACAGCATACAGCAGAACCTAAGATTTGAAGTATTATAGACAAGGTTGGTGATTCAAACCCACCAGCTGCTCCATGGGAAAAAGGTCATGCTCTCTGCTCCCATAAAAGATTTATAATCTTGGAAACCCTAAGGAGAAATCCACTCTGTTCCACAGACTCACGATGAGTTTGAATTGGCTAAGAGGTAATGGGTGGATCCCTAAGAGATCTACACCAATACCATTTTACTTGGGGGGGTGGGGGGCGAGGCACCAAATCCTATGGCCATAGAGTTGATTCAGACTCATAGTGACCCTGTATAGGGTTTCTGAGACTATAGATCTTGATGGGAGCAAACAGCCTCATTGTTATTCCACAAAGCAGCTGGTGATTTTGAACCACTGACCTTGTAGTTAGCAGCCCAACATTTAACCCACAGTGCCACCAGGGATCCTTAGCTGAGACTGAGAGGTTAAATCGCTTCTTTGAGGTCCACAGCAGGCAAGTGTGGAGCCTGGATTTGAGGCCAGATAGCTGGTTCCCCAGCCCATCCTCTTACTGCTACTGCTCTGCGCTTGTGAGATGACCTTGGGATTTGGAGGGACTGAGGGAGCAGTAGGAATAAAGCTGGAGGGCTGGAGGCAGTTTGGGCAGGGTTTTGAAGAAGCAGAGGATATGGGGTAGAGACCAAAGTAAAGGCTCAGAGAAAGGGACAAACAAACCACGCTGTCAGGGAAGATGAGGAGGCCACCTCAGCTGGAATGGAAAACCCACAAACAGGAGGGAGAACCCCATGCAGGGGAAACCAGGGCTTTGAGCAGGAGGGGAGGGAGCCCTATGTGAAGTCATTCACCCCAACATTCTCCTGGAATGGTTTACGCCAAGCCTGGCCAGTGCTTGTCCTTCCCTTTTGTTGCTGACACTCTTGGCTGGGAGAAGGACCCTATATAGTCACACACGCATTACCCTAACCAGAATTGCAGTTTATGATGCCTTCATTCTAAGGCAAATTGCAGGGCTTTTTTCTTTTTTTAAAAACTCTTCTGGAACTGTATTGATTAGATTTGCACCTTTTCAGCACACTCACATACAACTTATAATCAACTAGAAAAATTTGCTATTTTTAGATAAAGGGCAATATCACGTAACAGATTTGAGCTATTTGTTCATGCTGTTGCTGTTAAGAGTCTTCTTATAGGATTTCCAAGAAGCATCTGATATGTTTGAACCGTTTGTTTTGTTTTTGAGTTTTGCTCAACTTTATTTTTAAAACTTTCAGTTCTCCCAGATTCACTTCCCACATTCAGTGTTCAAGTTATTAATTGATGTTTGCAACTGTTTCTACTCATTTTGAGTCATGTCACATCAACAAATGAAGTTCCTGAGAGCTTATTCCATCCAAAACATTAAGGCGGACTCTAAGTTGAGTAGGCAGCTTTTTTCTCAGTCATGTTTTCAATGCCTTCCAACTTGAAGTTTTCGTCTTCCAGCACTACATCAGAATTGCAGGACTTTTAGAGGATATGATGAAATTGGTGTGGCATTGTAGATTAATATGCATTGGATTGCTAACCACCAGGTTGTCAGTTCAAATCCACCAGTCGATCTTCCAAAGCCCTAGACAGGGCTGTTATAATTCAGAACCAACTTGACAACACTTACAACAACAATGGAAGTAGGACTTTAAGTCTCATGGACAGGGGAAAAAGTCTTAATTGGACGTCTCCTGGTCGAACACAAGAACACCCTGTGGGAAGGGCCCCAAAGGGAATGTGCTTGGCCAATTGTAGGGCCAGAAACAAGGCTGGGGAGGTGAGGGGAGAGTGGTGTGAGATGAGACAGTCAGGATGGGAAGTGTTGTCCAGATCTCTGGCACACACTTTAGGGCCCCGCCTGCAACATCTGTCTCCTGACAACAGACTCTGGCTCCAGCAGGTCTGGCTGGGTCAGGATGTCCACAGAGGACTTCGCCCTGAGAAGGAATAGGGCAATGTCAATATTGATGTCTAGTGGAGTAACCCTGTGTTGCCCAAAGTGCAGGCCGAGCACCATGCAGGTGCACAAGGCCAGCTGAGGAGGAGTTGTTGTTAGGCACCATCGAGTCGGTACCTGTTGCAGACAGGTACCGACCCATAGTGACATTATGCACAGCAGAACGAAACACTGCCCAATCCTGGGCCAACCTTACTATTGTTGCCACGATTGAGGATGAGTGGGGAGCGATTTTCTTTTGCTTGAATAGAAGATGGGCTTCAAATGTTTATGGGAAAATGGAATGAAAAGATTATGGAAGTTTTCCACTTGAACTTTTGGACGTCTGCTTGTATATGTTTCATTTTAACAGAGCAGAAGAAAACCAGCATACTAACCTGGTGTAATCTATATGTGAGTATGTTTCAATTTAGTATGTAAGCACAAGGAAATCAGTATACTAAACTGGAGTAATATATATGCAAGTGTGTTTTATTTTAGTATGTATCAGAACAGAAGGAAACAGCTGGGTTTTTTGTTCAATAAAAAGATGAAAAGAAGAAGGAGGGGAATGAAGAAAAGAAGGAGAGACGAACGTATCTGCCAACTGAATTGATTTGAAGACATATATTAAATAAAAAAATATATTTCAGGTGATTCCTAGATGGGGCAAAAGTTCTGAAGGTTGTAGGCAAGCATCTAAAGTGTGGGAAACAATGAAGAATCTGACAAAAAGACCCTCTCTTTGTGGAGGGAATAATATTCAATGACAACACATGAGTAGGGCCTGAACTCAGGACTTTCTCCACCAGCTTATGGACCCCACTACAACTTTTCTGTTCTGTTAACACATGTTTATTGGGCACCAGACTTGTGCTCAGCAATCACACATACACTGACATCCTATGGAAGAGAGACAAAAACTGAAGGCATTACTGTAGGTCAGATCAAGAGTGAAGTAAGAAGGCTAGGCTGGGTGAAGCTACTATTTTAGAAAGGAAAGTCCTTTGAGTAGACATGGAAAGGAAGAAAGGGAGGGAGCTCCTCTCTGACTTTCTGGGGAGTGTGTGTCCAAGACTGGAACTTACTTGTTAGGTTCACAGGGTAAGAAGGAACCCAGCGTGGCTGATGAAGTATGCGTGGTGGTTCT